GGTGCTTTACATCCTGGGCTCCCAGGCTCTCCCAGTATGACTCTAGTGTCTAAATGCTAACAGAGATCTGTTCCCAAAGTGGTAATAAACCATAAAAACCTAAAAACCTCCAACCTCCCTCGACCAAAAACCTCACAACACACCAGCAAAAAGGATCTCATGCCCACAGGAAAGCCAACAGCAGCTCGTGTCACATTGGACACATCCATACAAAGCCCTTAGAGGTGTGCAATTGCAGGTTTCCTTCACACCATGTGCTTCCCATTCAAAACAAACAGAGACCAGCAGCTCAGGGCAGGGCTGCACCTTTGCTGTGTTGCTAGAATGTTCACTTTACTGCTTGTGGGGGGTTTAAATGCAGTGTTAAGCAAAAAGAGAACTTTTTAGTACAACCCATGAGACAGTTGAGAGGCTTCAACCTCCAGCATTTGCTGATCCGAAGTGCCACCAGAAACACCTCTCTCGCCTATTTCAGGGCACAGCAGTGTCCCAGATCACCCCTGTAACCTTTGGAAATTAATTTACACATTAATTCCAGGCTAATAAATGAAGCTCAGAGCACAGCACCAACACTTGGCACACATCTTTTGCTCGTGAAGGTTTTGCACCAGTGCTCCAGAACTAGGGCTCCCCCTCCTAAGTGCTGTGCCTACATATATATTCTCTGAAGCAGCCTGGGGTTTGAGTCCTTCACTGCAGCTCGCTGTGACCCTGCAAAGCTCATCTGCAAGTTCCTTGCCACAGGAAGGGAATGTGGACTTTCTGAGATTGAATCTGTACAGAACAGGCACAACGTTTACAACACGCACCCTTCGCCAAACAGCGAGGAGGGAGGAACACCCTGAATGCAAACAGAAAACACGTCCCACATACGGCAGGCGTTGATGGAAAGACCAGCCTGAAAGGACAGGGCTGAAAGAGCACAGTGTCACCTCAACACACAAAGTGACAACGGGCCTTCCCTCTTCTCAACCCTGCAATGTGGGCTCGGCTGGCACAGAGGCCAGCACGTCAGAGCCCAGGTCACACCTGATTCGACTTGGTGGAGGGTCCAAGAACGGAACCAGCCACAGGACCTCCTGATCTTGAGGGGGCTGTTCCACAGAAGAGATGAGGCATCCAAGGAGGATAATGGCCCTGCACCAGCAGTGTGCAAAGTGACTTGAGAGCTCTCCAGCCTGTGCTTGTGAAGGTTTCTAAGGGAATGAATGAACGAAGCAGAGATGGAAGAGAGCACCAAAACACACAACAGGACAGAAAAGCTGCAAGAATGGCCTGTGCTGGCACGCTCCCAGCAGTAAATTTAAGGAATGTGGTGTTTCCATCAAATTCAGAAGGCTGAACTGTAAGACTTGGCACAGACAACTTGTCAGCTGAGGTCCCTCCATTCTCACACCGAAATGAGCAGCACAGCACATCTATTTCAGACATGTGTTTCAGCCAAGGGAAACAAGGCAGCGAGCAGCAGCCCCCATCCTAACATTTATGAAGGCTCAAGTCAGCCACGTTGTGAGGCGAAGGACCACAGAGGAACAAGTACAGGATATGAAAGAATCTGTCCAAATACTAATTTATCATCACCAACGAGGAAGGAACTGAAGAGACATAATGAAGACTTAACTGCTGGCACTTCATCCTCAGCATCCCACACAACTGACCCTTGACAGACCTTTTAGACACACATCTTGGTGCTTGCAAGTGAACGTGTAATTGAGCAGTAGCAGCCTGCCCACAGATTTTGCAGGGCAAGGCCACCTCGCCCTATTTGACATTGGTTTTCCGCCACTGCAAATGAATCTGGGCTCCTGTGGGGCTGAGGGGAGGGCATTACGGACGCAGGACAGACTTACTGGCCACCAGGAGCTGGACCCTGTGCTCATGGTCCGTCTTGTTCAGCACCTCCTTGCAGGTGTAGTTGCCCTCATCCTGCACACGCAGCTCCGTGATGCTCAGAGAGCTGTTGTCGACCAGGGAGAAGCGGACATCCGGGGGGAAGGTGATCCTTG